TGCTGGCGCACCATTTTTAAAAATATTAAGCGGGCTTCTAGAAATCCCAATCACCAGCACGTTCAGTTTAGTTTTGTGCACAGGATGTACTGTACTCCACGATTGCGCTTCGCTATGGCTCTCGATCCTGATACCCTTTGTAAATTGTGCCCACTTAGAGCCCTTGGTACTTTTCTCCACATGTTCTGGGAATGTCCACCTGTGGCCGCTCTCTGGCACACGGTCTCCTCCTTTCTTTCTGATCTGCTGGATGTGACTGTTACTTGTTCTGCTAATTCTCTGTTACTCTTAGATTTCTCTCTCCTTTCTTTTTCCCCTTCTCAGCAACAGACGATTTCTTTATCCTCTGTCGCTGCAAAGCTTCTGTTGGTCTCAAGGTGGAAAGACCCGAGTCGTTGCACTTTCATAGTCTGGAGGGCTTCCCTTTACAATCTGATCATGTTGGAGCTGTCTGCTGCTCGAATAAATGGTGCCTCTGACATCACTATTAATAGTTGGGAACGCAATGCTTCACTTGTACAAGGGTATCTCGAGGGGAGCACATCACCTATTGTGCTTGGTTAATTCTGGTATGGCTATGTAGGTGTATATATGTATACATATATGCAAATATTTTTGGTGTGTCTGTGTTGTATCTGTGTCGATGGGTGCGTGTATATGTATACATATGTTTATTACTGTATGTATAGTGTGTGTATGTATATTGTATAAATTAGTGCTGTCAAACGATTAAAATTTTTAATCAGATTAATCACAGGGTTGCTGTGGATTAATTTAGATTAATCACGATTAAATATTCATTTTTAATCTATATTAATTGCATTTTGTTTTGCATGAGCAAACAGACTCAAGAAAAAAGGAAGAGTGTGTGTGTGTGTGTGTCACGTTTATTGAACATCTTGAACACGAGTTGGACCTTCTATGGCCCTGTCCATCTCTCCTAGAGTAACTGCCTGTCTCATGGAATCTCCTCCATGCCCTTGAGACTGTGCTGGGAGACACAGCAAAACTTTTGGCAATGACACATCAATATGCGCCATCCTGGAGGAGTCGGACTACCTGTGCAACCTCTGTAGGGTCCAGGTATCGCCTGATGCTACCAGTAGTGACACTGACCGTAGCCAAATGCAAAACTAGTGAAAAAAGTCAGAAGAGATTAGGACGGAAAAATGTCAGTGGCCCCCACCTGTTAAACCATTCCTGTTTTGGGGGTCGCCTCATTGTTGCCCCTCTAGTACACCTGTTGTTAATTTCATTAACACCAAAGCAGCTGAAACTGATTAACAACCACCTCTGCTACTTAACTGACCAGATGAATATCCAAGAAGTTTAGTTTACTTGATGCTGTACTCTGATTAATAAGCGCGGAGTGCTCCTGGGGTGGGGTGGGGTGGGGTTTTGGTTCTGGTGTGTTTTATCTTCTGTTTTGATGTGTCACTTTGCGTCCATTATATCAAAAACCCAATAAAAATTGGTTGCAACTAAACTTGTGAGCACAAGACAACTAAATTTGTGCAAACCGTGCCTTTAAAGCATAACATGAGACATGACATAAAATGTCCCAATAGCTCATTCAACCACACAAGTAACCTTGTGGAGGTTTTACCAATACCTCTACAGTTGCTTGCATTAAAGTTTTTTAAGGTTTTAGCTGAAATATTAATGTATCCATTTGCATAGGGCTGCTAGAGCTTCTAGGACTTGATTGAACAATCCCTTGAATAATCAGCACGGCTTCTTGCTGTATATCCTGAATGGGAGAGGGGAAAACAACATCTCTGGGGTCATCAGGTGGGCACCCTCCATCTTCAGTGTTTTGCTGATTTAGCCCCACGACACCTCCGGAGTAAGAACTTTATTATAAAAACACATATATAATATGAACAATTGCATAAATAACTAGAGACGCATTTCCGCAAAAATTGTAGGAGTAGCGTCTAGAAAAGGTGAGTGGAATAAAAAAATAAGAATAAATTAGGAAACCAACAAAACTGACTCGGTCTACTTTGAACTGTTTTTATTACAATGATATGATTATTAAAACTAAGTTATTAACTATAAAGACCATAGTGATGGGCATTGCGGCTCATCTCTAAGGCAATAAAAACATAGTGTTGACCCGGAGGTGCTGATTATAAACACAGTTTTTAAGAAAGTGTTCCATATCTTCTTTGTACTGAAACACAAAAAGAAAGGGATGGAGGTCATCCAGATCATCATTCTGTTTTAGTCTGTAGGGAGCTTTCTGGCAGTCCATGTGTTGCATTCGTCCAGAACCGGCTATGAATTAGCATCCCATATAGATATGTGCATCTAAAATAGTATAATTAATAAGAATAATTGTCATGTACAGTAATAATCACTTCATTTCACAGCACGTAACATTTGTAAGATAGCTGCCTAGTTCACTAAAGCTAAACAGATTTGGAACTAAAATATTTATAAAATATATTTTTTTAGTTTCCGCTAGAGGTCTGTTCACGAGTGGTGTGTAGTGTTTGGAAGGTGCCCTCTTTCCATCCAGCCATGGTGAGGCCCAGTACTGCTCCATGGTGTTTATATTTGTTTTAATAGTCTAACTGGCTTTTAAGGTATTGTGTGGCAATTTTATTTTTATGTGAAAGTGTGTGGGAAGGGTGGATGCTGGTATTCCCGTTTGGTGATTAGTGTGGCCATTTAATCTTTTAATTTGTTCTTTCAAATTATTTCTCTGGTCTTGTTTACCATGTGTCAAATTTGTGTGATCTTGATAACCCTTTCAGGCTCAAATTGAGTTTTTGTTGCTAAAGGACAACCAAGACCTGCAGTGGTACTTTTGAGTAAAAAAAACTCATAAAATATGTATCTGGGGTAATAAGGTAGTTAGTTTTTAACTGTTGCAAATCAGCAACGCCTGCCTTGAGAGGGTTAAATTGCCTTTATGAAAGGTATTCCATCTGGTTGTGCAGTCACAATCGCATGACATGATACTGCCTTTGATATACAGTGGTACCTCAGTTCACGAACTCATGAACTCGAATTTCTTAAAAGTCGAACCAACCAGTTCGAAAGAAATTACCTAGAGCTCGATCTGAATCTCAGAAGTCAAACCGTGAACGCCGACCTAAGATAACTTGTACGCCGGGAAATGAGTCACGCGGCACGTCTCTCAGCGGAAACAAAGGGTAACGCTTCAGTCTCAGCCTCGCATTCGCTGTGATAGCATCGTGCATGTTTACACTA